CTTCTTTATGTGCCTCTTAAGAAATCATAAATAAGAAGGGTAGTTTTACTAATGTTCCCCTTAAGAATTATTTCCATTTAAAAAAAAGAAAGAATTAACTGTAAGAATAGAATGAAAAATAATAGTTAATTCTATTTTGATTTTGTACAAGTAATTTATGACAACTATTTTAGTAATGTGAATAATTAATATGGAATGATGAAGTAACTGGTATAGTATATCTTTTTATCCCATATGGTATATATTAGGGGTGTCAAATGGGCGGGTTGAATTTAAATAGGAGATATTAAAATGAGTTGAAATAGTAATCAGGTTGGGTTATGACCTGCCCAAATTTACTTTAGGCTCAAATGGGCTAAATATCGAGTTGGATCATGAGCCGCCCAATTTAACCTACTAATCTCAATAATTTTAATGTATTGTTATTTCCTTTCTAACCACAATTTGAATTTCAAGTCAAAAAAATTAAAAAATAAGTTAGAAAATTGATAGATAAATCCTAGAAGATATAAAATAGATAGTAATTCATGCCTTTAATGTGGGAACATACATTACACCAATTCAAATAAAGAGAGTAAATTTGGCTCAGTTGAAGATACTTTTAAAACTGGTCAAGGCTTCAATGTGTTAAGATTGACCCAATTCAAATTATCTTCTTTAAGTTTGACTTTTTATTTTTGATTTTAAAATTACTAAAATATTTAAGTTGAAATTGACCCAATTCAAATTATTTTGAGCCCAGCCCAATGTGTTATCTTATAACGTATTTTTATGATGATAAACAGAAAAGTTTATTAAAGAAGGTCTCTAATTATATTCTTGTTTGTTTTTGTAACAAAACAACAAGCAAAGTCAAAGGCCTATTAATTTGATGCAGAAATTCATAGTAAATTTCCTTATCATCTATATCTATCTATATTACCTTAAAAGCATGACCTCCTAACTTGAATGTTAAATTACTATAATATCCCTAACTTAGGTTGTGCCTTTTTGATGAGTTGTGACTTTTCCGATAAGTTGTGACTTTTTTCAAAGGGTTGTGATTTTTCGATGAGTTGTGCCTTTTTCGATGAGTTGTGACTTTTTTCAAAGGGTTGTAATTTTTCGATGAGTTGTGACTTTTCCAAAGAGTTGTGACTTCTCTGAAAGGTCATGACTTTTCAGATAAGACACAAAAAACACTTGTTCAACTACCCTTTGTTGACTATAAATAGAGGGTCTTCCTCTCATTTTTCAACAGCAATTTTTTTTAATCTTCTACTCTTCTTCTTCTTCTTGTATTTTATAAAAGTTTCATGTGATTTATTGACCTTGAGTGAGTCCGAAGTTTAGCGGAATATGAGGTACCACTCTTCTGATGAAGTAAATCGCTCTATCCTAAGAAGGCATATTCCATAACCTCGACTACTTAAGGAAAATAATTTTGATGATATAATAATTAATTTTTTACTGAACATATACATTAGTAAGTAATGTTCCAATATATGAAGTTAAGATGATGTAGTCTAATTTCATTTGTTTTTGTTAATAATTTCTCTTATGATGCTGATATATTCTTCTGAATAACTTTTTCCAAAATTATTAAACCTCTCAAGAGTTAGATAATTGTCACAATTTGTGTTTTTGATACTCAAGACAAAAAAAATGACTTTATTTGTCAATGCTACTTATGTGATTTGGATTGTCACAAAGTTTGCTTCAAAATAGTTTTTACTATATAAACATTGCACTTTTGTTTTACTTATTTACTATTTCTCAAAATTTCAGTATTTTAGATGAAGAAAAAGTTCATATGACTTGTAATAATGTCAGTTGAAGTTTGTATTAGTTTAATTTTTATTATTTATTTAATAACTAATTTTAAGGAGATAAATATTTTCATTAATACATATATATAAACTAACAAGATCGTCTAACTTCAAAATATATTATTTTATAATGTTCTGAATTATTTGTTTTTAAAACAACTCACAACAAATTTGAAAATATGTGGATATATATGAATCATTTAAAATTTATCATTTACAAATAATTTTATATTCAATAATATAGAAAAACATTTTCATGTTGTCCCTACACTAAATTAAAATCTAATAACTATATAAAAAAAAGAGAACATTTATTAAAAGTCCTATTTATTTATGTAAGTACAAAATTTATTAGAAACTTTGTTATTGCACATTTATTCTTTCGTTATAACATTATAAATTCTCTTAGTTATTACTAATTATTGCAAATGTTATTCACACTCTTTTACATCCTTTAGTTATAACATTATGAATTCTCGTAGTTATTACATTAATTATATCTATCTTTCATCTTTCCTTATATTAACCTTTGACCAATAATTTTTCATATTATTATACCGTCCCTATATATGTTATAACAGGGGTTGAAGTATATGAACTATATCTTTTTTTTGTGTAGGACAAACATGTGATTATATATATAATTTCACAGATAGAATATATTCTTTAATTTTAACTTTTAGTTTTTTCGGAAAAAAAAAAAGGAAACTTTTCTCAGTTAACTATGGATAATTAGATAACTATCTTTGATTTATGTACACAGTCAATAGAGAAGGCAAATATGAGAGCCAACAACAAGAATGACATCTATTATGTTATAACTTATAAAATAAAAATTAATATACAAAAATAGTTCTAAAAAATACATCTAAATAGTCTAACGTGGAATACACCTTCAAAGCACATCTGGTTAGATGACAAGAAAAATGCACAATAAATATCGTCTATAAGGTAATATTAGTAAGATACAACTAATTACATGATTGACTCTCATAAAGTTGAAATAAATATATGCAATATTGCATTTAACTAATAAAATATTGCATTGACCATCTTCATAGGTTCGCATAAATAAGAGATAAATATGACGATCCAGATTGAACATTCATAAAAGAATCTGCAATATTATGTTGTGCAAAACTTATTATTCAAATCTTCACTTAAATAAGCAATACTATTTACTATAACATATATTTTCTGAATTGGTAATCATGTGCAACACACGTGTCGGAAAACTAGTATATTACTATAAGTGGGAAAAAAAAATGTTAAAAGTAGAATTACGGTTTTACCCCTACTATAAATTAAAATGTTATAAAACATTTAACTATTTAATTTAAATATTAAATTGTTCCATTTTAATTAACAAGTTAACGACTTTTGCACTTCCTTAGATTAATTTCTAATTAAAATATCTAATTTAATAATACTTATCATCTATAATCTATATGTATATAATAATAAATTAATAATCATATATCATATATCATATCATCATATTTTTTATTTTCTTTAAAAAGAAATATATATCATATCATCATATATCATATATTATTAAAAGTGGGAACCATCAAATTGCAAAGTTGGATTAGCATTTTGCCCCTACACTAAATTAAAATGTTGTAAAGTATTTATATTAATTAATTATTAACTACTAATCCAACACAAAAGTTAATTTTTTATTCATCATATATTACTATAAGTGGGAACAAAAAATGTTAAAAGTTGAATTACGGTTTCCAATATGGCTTTTAAGCATTTTCAGTTTTCTAAGCATCAAGATATTTCAGTCTTCTATGACGTATGTTTAATCAAATTAAATTAAATTGAATGATACAATAGATGCATGGAATCTATTTAGTTAGGAATATGAATAGCTAACATCATTAAATCTATATATATATATATATATATATATATATATTGTAATCTATTATCATTTCTTTACTTTTTATCCTCTCTATATAGTTCTCGATATTTCTTGTATTTGTCTTTCTTTAATATATTTCTCTTTTCTTGATTTGTTTTTGCTAATTATTAATTCTTATTTATTTATCTTTTGTTTCAGGTTTTTACCTTATGATTTTGAATTCTTCTCTTCTCATTCACATCATCAGGTAAGTAATAGGTATGATGTTCGTTTTCACAAAAATATAATGTAATCTGTAGGGAAATTGTGATATTTATGACATTTTTTAGTAGTATAAATGATATAGACTTTAGATTCATACAAAATTATTATTCCTTTGAGTGGATACTTTTTGAAGATGTACACCCAGTATTATAAATACTTCAACCATTTATATCAAGTTCCTTATTCGTGAGTATAGATCTATTATATTATATTCCGTAATATGATTATATTTAAATAATTTAATTAATATTTTTCTGTCAAATTTACATATGAAAAGACTCATAATCTTGAATCAAACAAAGAAAGTTGTACGTGCAATTACATTTTTATATATCAATTAAAATTTCTAATGCCACTAATTATTAATTATCTCTATCACAAATAAACACTATTTTGCAAGTGTATTCCATGAAATTGACAATGATACATTATCCACCTTAAAGAAACATATGTTTATCACTATTTCTACAACATGAAATACGACTTTATTCAGCAACAACTTCTTGATATGCATGTGTCTGTAAAAAGGATGATGTTATAATTTCTTACACAAGATACAAACTTGAAAATGTGTGAAACACTTGCAAACATAATCAACGTTACTCATGTCACATATAAACTATTTGTTGTTGAAATATTAAAAAAAAAGAAGGTAAGTGTTGTACTAAGTATAAGATATATTAGAATTATATAAGAAAAATATCACATATACCAATTCAATTGATTGGGTATAATTACTATTGTGAACCAAGCTGACTCGGTAAGGGCCTATGGGCAATTTGGGACTTTTATTTGGGATCCAGCCCCAATTAGTATCTCGGTTAAAAAGGACTAGAAGTTAGAAGAATAGTTATGCAATTATGTTGAAGCTCTGGTTGTCAGTTATCTCTCATACCCTTTCTCTGTTCTAGTCTCATCCCCTTCTAGTTACCTTCTTCTATGTTAGTCTATATGTAATTAGTATGTTATTACTTTGTTGTGCATATTATACGTTGTACTTTGAATCTAATGTTGGGAATCGAGTTTGTTTCATTGGTGCTTTCATCCAGAGGTCTTCAATGGAGGACCAAATATATCGAACAATAGAAGATTCAATCAAGGTCGTGAAGGATACTTGGTCGAAGGATCTCGCTGAAATTCGTTCCATGTTACGCAAGTTGGTTGGAAACCTTCCTATGAGTAAATCTGGAACGGTGGAATTTCAACGATTTTGTGGCGAGAATACAGAGTTATGGATTTCTCAGGCAGAACACTACTTTAATTTCTATGAAATTGCAGAAAATAACAAGTTATATCTTGCCTCGTCCTATCTAGATGGAGCGGCTTTAACTTGGTACCGCTGGCTTTTTCAGAACAAGCAATTGGCAGATTGGGAACACTTTGCTGCAAAAGTGTTGATTCGCTTCCATAAACTACATCTCAAATCACCAGAAGATCGCTTAGCCAATATCTTGCGGGTACTCTTTGGGACTAAGTACCCAAGTCGTTTTAAGGCTGTTTCATCAGATTTAAGTGAGTTAGATATACATTCGACATGCCTTGCACAAGTAACCAAGTCACCCTTGCCTCAAAACTATGATGAGCTATCAGAATACCCGACCAAAATTGATGAGCACAAGATGTTTGATGAAATGTTAAATAGTAACTCCCCCAAGGTATTTACAGTGGCTTTAGATGCTCCTTTTGAAATTTTCGATGAAGATGTTATAGGTCCTGATGGTAGCAAAGTCCAGTTGTTCTATGGGCATCCTCAAATAGATATGTCAGGGAGTTATGTTACAACAATTTCTCTGGATTGTGGCTCTTGTAAACAAGAAATTGGTTTTGAGTTTTTTGAAGACATGTATCTTGCGGAATATTTCTTGGAGCCTGAGAGTACTGATGATTTATATCTGGATAAATTTTTTATAAAGAATGAAAGTGGTATTCCAATAAGTGAACTGCCTTCGGATGAAATGACCTCCAAGGATCAGGGGCAGCTCAACATAAATCGAGGCCTAAAGCGAATTTTCAACTAGAGGCCTAAAATCTAAACAAACATTATATGTATTTATTTTTAAAAAATATTGTTCTTACACTTTTTAAATGCAAATTGTTGCTTAATTTTTTTTATAAATGATTTTTTGATTATTTTTGCTCGGATGGTAAGCACCCCTCACTTCCAACCTAAAGTTTGCGAGTTCGAGTCACCAAGGGAGAAAAAAGGGGTGGGAGCTCCTAGGGAGGGTAAAATAAAAATAAATCTTGGGCAATTATTAGTTTTAAGTAAAATTTATCAATTCAATATTAAAAAATATCATTTTACTAAGGCAATCATTATATGAATTGTTAACATAATCCTATAAGTAATAAGTTGATAAATTTTAAATAAAGGTAAGCGTTAAAATCATAGAATTTGATTTAAGAAGTTGAATAACTTGATCCGACCTTAATGTGCTTGTTGTAATGCTAGTAATTAAGAAGATACTTATAAGAATAGAATTTTTTTCACTTTGTTCAACATTTTTTGACTATTGATTTATATTTTTGACATACTATTACTCTAATTAATCAAAAAATTGAAGAAGAAGAATAAAAATAGAGTTACAAAGAATAAAATAAAATGAATGTTGGGAAGAGAATGTAAGAAGGCAAAACACTATTTTTTTATTTCTTCTATTTGAATGGGGTTAAAGAAAATAAAATAATATTTATTTATTATTGTTTTAAAAATTATTTTATCATAAATAATTTTTAAAAAATTATAAAAAAGATTAACATGTAATTTATTTTTGGTAAAAATTTGAGAAAATTTGAGGCCCCAATTTTTTGGGGGCCTAAGGTATATGCCTTAATTGTTATAGCATAGAGCCAACAATGCCAAGGATATGGCTCTAACAGGTTATACAGTGAATGTAGAGACATTATTTTTCTGGGATTTAGTCAGGGGATGACCCACATGTAAAGGTGGGGTGCACGTGCACCCGTAAACTTTGAAAAAAATCATGTGTATATATATATATATATCTTGAGAAACTGATAGAAAGAAGAATATAATAAAAAGTGCACCCTTAATGAACATGGAACTGCAGGGCTGCTGGTAGAAGTGACGAAATACCTCTTTGCAGACCCAGGTTCGATCCTGGTCAACAACTCTTTTTTTAAACTCTTTTTATTACAAAGTCAAGCTCATTACATGTGCTAATCATATGACGCAAGTGTGGGATTCAGGACGACGATGGTGCGGTGCTTACGCCACTACTTATCAGACATTTGTTCAATTTGAAATTTTAAGAGATGTGTATGCATATGTCAACACAAAGTGGCTAACTTCAGTTGAATCGGTGATGTTAATTTCATTTGCAACTGTTGCATTAACTAACAGAAAAGTGATTACTAAGGACAAAAGCCATTTTATCTTGGTTAGTGGACAGTGTGGTGTTTGTAAGACTAACACTACTACAATACTTAACCACTGTTTTGATTTTTTTTTTTGTGGCCTTAGAAGCATTGAAGAGCAATCGGTGGAACGTGAAAGCCTGACCATTGATGTAATTATAGGAGGTGTGGCTTGTGTTATTCATCTTGGTAATTTAGAATCTGCTAAGGGCATTAAAGTTGATTTATCAGTACTTAAGGTTAGCAACTTTTGGTTTTAATCTAACATTAAAACAGTAGCTCTCGACTCACCTTCAAGCCTGAACAGATTTACTATTGTAATGTCACGGTGGCTCCACTTGAACCTTGAGGACAAGGTTTTTTTTTAGGGCGGGAGTATTGTTGTGAACAAAGTTGACTCCGTGAGGGCCTATGGGCTATTAGAGACTTTTATTTGAGATCCAGGCCCAATTAACTATTGTTAAAAGGTCTAGCAATTAGAAAGAACGGTTATGCAAATTATGTCGAAGCATTGGTTGTCAGTTATCTTTCATTCCTTTCTCTGTTCTAGTATCTCATCCCCTTCTAGTTACCTTCTTCTATGTTAATTTCTTCTTAGGTAGTGCGTTCTTACTTTGTTGTGCATATTATAGTTGTAACTTGTATTCAACAATAAATATATATAATAATAGTGCTTGTGTAGGAATCGAGTTTGTTTCATTGGTGCTTTCATCCAAAGGTCTCTCTAATGGAGGACCAAAAAGTACTCAAGGCTTTCGATGGTGATTCTATTTGGGATTCAATACAAGAAATGAAGGATTCTATATCTAAAGATCTCACTGAATGTCGTTTGATGTTGTTGAAGGTTTTGGGGGAAAAGGATACGACCTTTTTTGAACCCCAAAACATAGTTAAGGACATCAAATTATGGCAGTTGTGAGGTGAGAATCCGGAGGCTTGGATAGTTCAAGCAGAGCATTATTGTAATTGCTATAAAATTGAGGAAGATCAGAAGATTAATGTGGCTTCATTCTATTTTGATGGTGAAGCGTTGGAATGGTATCGATGGTTATTTTGTAACAAACAACTCGCTAGTTGGGACCATTTTGTGGACAAATTGATGATTCATTTTCACTCCCGTACTAGAGACACACATCGCGGGTTCTTATCCATTCCCAAGAACAAGAATAATAGGACAGTGGAGTATTATCAGGAGGCTATTCCATCATAGGGTAATATTACTAATTCATCCTCACCTCAGTCTTATCCATACGATATCTTTATGGGAAATTATGAGGTAGACCACGTGTTCGATAAACTGCCTAAGAAGTAAAATGATGCAGATTTTTCGGACAGTACCTCTGTTGGTAATAATAAGAACACTTTTGAGGAAATGGACAATAGGCCATTGCTAATGATTTCTTCCGTTCTTAGTGTGTTTGATCAAACGGTGACATATTCATATATGTCTAATAACACTACTAAGGATGAAGCAATTTCATTTCCAAACAAAGTTCTCTCTCAATCGCCTCAGTATGGTCATGACCATTTAAGTCGAGAAGGTGGACAACATGTTTGTACCTTATCCTATGAGACACGTCCACCACAAGAGCCCACTAGTTTGTCGTTCTCTACTTTCAGTGTGCACAATGATCATTTCATGAACACTTTTGTTACTGATGCTAAGCTCCTGAAAGCAATAACTGTTGCGAAGTTTTGGAAGGTGGTAGTTGCTGAACGAGAATACAATGATTGTGAGCTCATTGATCACTTGGGATTGTTTGTAATGTACGAGGTAACTATTAAAAATTTCAGAATTAGTACAACAAGTATGTTCGACGGCAGTCTTCACTGGTCTTGTGTCATTGGTTGTGGCCAAGAGGTCGCAAGACCGTTAATTGGAGATCCCAATTTTAGTTGGACTGTTATTTTTAAAGAAAACCAGATTGCTGGAGTAGCTGAAAGGATGAATACATTAGTTTCTGTGGAAGCCAAAAGTTATAAGTTTACTCGTCTTATGCCACTGGATCGGCCACAAGTGGTGCCAACTTTTTGTCCAATTGATTTTTATATCCAAACAACTTCACTGGTCAACCGGCTGATTAAATACTGCTTCTTTTTTATAACTGATGAAGTGGGATTACATCTTAATTTTGTCCTTGATTATATCTCTGTTCATGGGGGTTATCAAGCACTTTAATCAATTGAACCAAGGGTTGCCTTTAGTACTAGTGAAATTTCGCACAAATCCACCTTTCCAGGCATTATCCTACAAATATCAATCTGGAAAAGTATGTTGCAGAGACATTTCCATTGAGGTGGTATGGTTCTAGTTAAAGTTGGACAAGCTGTTCAAAATGCAATGGAAGTAATGCCAATTTCCTTAATACTCTCCAAAGACATAAAACTGCACTTTGCATTAGACCATCTAGATCATTTTCTTTGGCCAAATTTATTGCTGGATGGAGGAGTGTTGTTTCACTTTACACTCGTGACATTGCAGTGTGTGGAAATTGTTACTCGTCAGATAATTGAGAGAGTTTTGGATGAATTTCATGAGTTGAACCTTGAGGACAGGGTTCTTTTGGAGGATGGGAGTATTGTTGTGAACCAAGCTGACTCAGGAAGGGCAAATGGGCAATTTGGGACTTTTATTTGGGATCCAGGCCCAATTAGTATCTCTGTTAAAAAAGACTAGAAGTTAGAAGAACGGTTATGCAATTATGTTGAAGCTTTGGTTGTCAGTTATCTCTCATCCCCTTTCTCTGTTCTAGTCTCATCCCCTTCTAGTTACCTTCTTCTATGTTAGTCTATCTGTAATTAGTCAGTTATTATTTTGTTGTGCGTATTATATGTTGTACTTTGTATCTAGTGTTGGGAATCGAGTTTTTTTCAACTACAAAATATTATACTTTTCTTTCAAAATTAGTTACTCAATATTACTTGCAAGTTTTAGTAGCATCTATCTAACTTGATTCTTCTTTGATAATGAAAGATATTTTTGTTCGGTCTTTTATATCAGTTATTTTCTTTTATATTTGTATAGGTATATTTGGCTGGAATTACAACAACTTGAAGGTTGCTTGGTATTACGACCCGAGCCTACACCCTGGATGTGGCCGGCACTCGAGAACCATTGATGGTCCCCAAGCGAACTCTCATCCTGGCTGACTAAAAGCAGAAGACTAACTCAAACATACAAAGCTTAAAACAGAATAAAATTCATGAAAAACTTAAATACAAGCTTTAACTCAAAAGAAAACTCTAAATAATATAATATATTCAACTCGCCCCAAAATGGGTAACTTAAGTCTTTAAAACATTAACAAAATAAATGAACAGACTTCTGAAACTCTATTGTCTATCTATGAAGCCTCTAAATGACAAAGATGAAAGTCGGGACAAGACCCACGACATCCTAACAACTGATATAACGGAAAAGTAAATGAAATCCTCCGGAAGCAAGGAGGCTCACCATAGCTAACTCGAACTGCATGTGGTATCAACGAAGCGCCTATTGATGACCCTGAATACCTGTATCTGTATCATGAAAAGATGCAGGCCAAATGGCTCAGTACGTGGAATGTACGAACATGTAAGGGGGATTCTAAAACATAAACATAAGCTTGAACTTGATGAAAAGGAAACATGCTTACCTCTT